GTGTGTGTGTGTGTGTGTGTGTGTGTGTGTGTGTGTGTGATGAGCACGTTCTCCATCCCTCTCAAATAGTCACACTGGGTCTTTGCTTTAGTCTTTGAGGTCTTTGCCTCCCGGGGTCGGCCAATGTCTTTTAAAATGGTGGCCTCCTTGGGTGGATCTCTGAGCTGGACGCCCAGCAACACGATCAGATTTGGATCCTCTTGGCTGTGACCATTCTCTTGAAGGGTCCTCCCAAGGAATGGGTGCCGAGGTTGTATTTCCTCTTGATCCGATAAGTTGGTCAGCGTCCAAACAGAAAGAGATCAAGGGAAGAAAATACATTTGGTCACAGTGGACATCGGCCCTGGGTCCATTTAACTTCCGCATGCACACGGGACGTGTCAGATCTGGGCAAAGTGACCATGCATGAGAAGTTGGTGTACCTGGGTCTCTGGGGAGGGGACCCTGTGTGATCTGCTCCCTGTCCCTCCACCCCTTGAATGATGCCCATCCCTTGAATGACCCCACAACCCATGTGTGATTCTCATGATTTCTACGTCCTTAGCAGGGGACAGTGTTGTTCATATTTATGTCTCTCTCTCTCTCTCTTTTTTTTTGGTACTGGACATTGAGCCCAGGGGTGCTTAACCCCTGAGCCACATCCCCAGCCCTGTTGATTTTTTTATTTGAGACGGGGCCTCACTAAGTGGCTGAGGCTGGCCTCCAACTTGTGATCCTCCTGCCTCAGCCTCCCGAGCCACTGGGAAACCACAGGCTTGCACTATGGTGCCTAGCCATGTGCCTACGTCTTAATGTCGACTCCAGATGGTCTTTTAAATATTTAGAGAGGACGGCACAGAAGCCGTGGGTAAGGTAGGACGTCGCAGACCAGGATGACTTTTCCTGCACTGGTTAAGGGGGCAGAAGACAGAGAGTGGCCCCTGACCACACACCGCCAGGGGTGTGAGGCCAGGAGACCACCCCTCTCCCAGGCATTGTGGTGCAAGCCTGTCTGCAGAGGCACAGCCTGAGTGCTTCCGACGGCATGCACAAAACGTATTCCACTTCTAGAGGTGGGCAGAGCCATACTGCAGGGTTTGAGGTCACAGGATTTAGGGTTGGAGGAAGGAGCCTCGTCCCCCTGAGTCCCGGGACCTGGTCTGCGTCAGAGTCACAGAAGTCCCCCTTCAGGGTCCCCTGGCTCCTCTCAGGGACATGACTTCCCGCCTGCATGTCCCCTGCAGGTCACAAGTGGTGTGTGAGGACGGTGGCGGAGGCTGTGCCCCGAGGCCAGGCAGGGCTGCAGGTCCAGGGCTTCTGGGAAGGAAGCTGTGGGGTCAGCACCAGGGGCCATTGATAGACTTGTCCCCTGGACCTTGTGTCCCAGCACCCAGGTCTGTCTGTCCCCTTCAGAAACATTGACAAAGAATAAATGAAGTAGGCACAGTTGGCATTCTCCATTATCAAGTCATGTGTTTCCCTTTATGGAGAATAAATATCCTGGGACAGACACATTAGGTTTGTGCAACCCAAAGTTTCTCCTCAAACATTCACGCATGTATCTAAGCATCCGTTCATGAGTCTGGCTTGCAAGAATTATTATGGCGCTGTTTGCTTACCGTAGATTTTCTCTGTTCCTCATTCATTCTGTATTTATTATGTGGAATTCTTTCTTTCCTGGTTGTGTATTCAAAAGTTTTAGCAATGGAGACCCAGAAACATTTATTTTAATGCTTTGTGTATGTTATTTTGCTGAACATATTGTTTCTGCTCTGGGAAATTGGAATCTTTTCCTCGTTGGGTCCTGATGTCCTGCTATCATACTTTTATCCATTTTCTAGCACCTGCTTAAATTTGAAAAAAAAATTGTCATCATAACATGTTCCAGGTCACTATGAAGTAGAGTGTCAGCCAAATTAAAAAAAAAAAAAAAGAATGATCATAATGGACCAGGGATAAGTTTATTTTGATAAAAAAAATATAATATTTCAAGATCTGCGCTTCAAACTTGTATGCAACTAACAATGTGGGTTTTGAACACGTAAAGCAAAAATGGACGGGAGATTGCGGTGGACATCTGTGGGTTCCTATCAGTTTGGCATTCACACCTCTCTGCCCACATATTTTATGAAGGGAGCTACCTTTCTAAGAGATGATCTGAGTCAGTCTATCTAGAACGGTTCCCTTCAACCTGTATGCTTGTCCCGTTTGGGGGTCATTTCCAGAACGAGTGCAAAGTGTGCCCAGTTGAGAGACAGCCATGGAAGACAACCCCAAATGCTGAGTCTTCAGTGGGTGTGATGGGAATTGGAGCTTTGCTCCGGGTTCGGGAGCAGCTCCTGGGCATCTTCTGGCACGACAGTGTTGTCCTGGGCTAATGGTCCCCTGCTGACCCGTGTCTTTATCAGGGACGTCCTCTCACGGGTGTTCGATGAGGTCGTTGAAGTCAATCTGATGGACAGCGAAGACTACATCCACCTGGCCTTCCTGAAGAGACCTGAGCTGGGGGTCACCCTCACCAAGCTCCACTGCTGGACCCTCACTCGCTACAGCAAGTGCGTCTTCTTGGATGCCGACACCCTGGTGAGTGCAGGGAGTGGTGAGGACCAACTTCTCGGCTCGATGAGGAGGCCAGAGACAAGATGTACCATTCCAAGGTCTACTCCCCCCAGCTAGGTCCCACGTCCTACAGCCTAGACCACCTCCCAATAACCCTTTCATCTAGGTATCCATCAATGGGTCAATCCATTGATGAGCTCAGAACCCTCACCACCCAACCACATCCCAAATGGCATGATCTGGAAACCAGTGCGTGTTGGAGGGAGTTGCAATTAGGGGTCAAGTTATCAAGGGCACAGTGAGTTGCTGAGAGCTAGGATGTTGGGTACCCTAAAGGAACCAAGTGCATTTTGGACTCGCTCTGAGTTTCGTGGAACGGAAACAAATCCTAAGTGGTCATTGAATGGGCTCCAGGACCTGGGAGGCAAGCTAAGAGTTTTGCAAAATAAAAGAAAGTTCTAGAATTCCCCAAGAATGGGGATACGCTCAAGATGGCGTATCCCAGAGGCTGGCACCGACACCATTTCCGCTCTGCGACGAAATTCACCCAGTATCTGCTTGATATGGATGGTCTCCATGTCCCTTCCTGGGATCCCAGTTCCATCTTGCACACTTGCTGATGTAAGTAAGGATGATCCTCCTCGCTCTAGAATCTTAAGCATCCGTGAGAAAAATCATTTTCCAGACCCAGGGCGGACTCGACAACTGCAGGTCAACTGGAGAGGAGTCTTCCTCGTTTCACCTTAAAAGTTTTAAGAATCTCACAAAAAAAATTGGTCTAAGGTTTCCGGGCACCAGAGGTGCATTGGGCTCACTCTAGGTCCCTGTGGAATTTTTGGGTTGCTCAGTGGAGGTGACAGATGTGTGGCTTTGCCTCGCCAGGTTCTGCACAACATCGACGAGCTGTTTGACCGGGAAGAGCTCTCGGCAGCCCCGGATCCGGGATGGCCCGACTGCTTCAATAGCGGGGTGTTTGTCTTCCAGCCGTCCCTGGAGACCCACCAGCTCCTGCTGCAGCATGCCACGGAGCACGGCAGCTTTGACGGTGAGTGAGGGCAGGACCCGTGGCCGGGATCCAGTTTTATACCCAGCTCAACGTGTCTCTCGCATCCACGAGCTGGAGCCTGCAGACAAAGGTGCACGCTGAGAAGTGAGCCAGTCCGGGTGACAGGGAGACATCAGGAAGGTATTAGGTCAATATGCAGCAGCCAGGAGGACCTTTGGAAGACTCCCTCCCAGGTAGAGAGAGCACCTTGGCAGTGCCGATGGTATACAACAGGTGCTCAAACCTTCCTCCGAAGGACCAAATAACTGATACTGTCAGCTTGGCAGGGTGCATGATCTTTGTTGCAAACACTTTATTCTGCACGTGTAACTTGGAGGTGGACGTTGGAAGGAAAACAGTGAACGTGGCAGACTTTCAATAAGACCAGTTTGGAAAAAGGGGCTCAGGGTGACCCCCGAGAGGGAATTAAGGGGGGGAATGGTCATCCTCAGATTTTTTTTTTTTCATCACTGTGATCAAAAGACCTGACGAGAACAATGAGAGGAGGAAAAGTTGATCTGGGGCTGCTCATAGCTTCCAAGGTCCAGTCCCTGGTGGCCGACTCCATGGCCCTGGCCCAAGGGGAGCAGAACAAGATGGCGGCAGGGCCTGGAGGAGGAGAGCAGCTCAGGACAGGGCACCAGGGAGCAGAGAGAGCTCTGCTCACCAGGGACAGGACAGAGACCCCAAAGGCACAGCCCAGGG